ACAGCACAGCTACAACTACAGCGACAACTACAACTCCACTACACCACACTCCACTTCACCACACTAGACTACCACTACGATTACCACTACCACTGCTACCGCTACACTTACACTTACGCTTACAACTACAACTGCAAACGCAACTGCAACTGCAACTACAACAAATACGAAAACTACAGCTACAGCAACAATAACAACTACAACTACAACTGCGACTACAGCCACTACTACAACTACAATTGCAGCAACATCAACTACAACAACATCAACTACAACCACAACTGCAGCTAGACCTACAACTACAACTACAGCTACAACTACAACTACAGCGACAACTCCACTACACTAAACTCCACTTCACTTCACCACACTACACTACCACTACCACTACCACAACCACTACCACTACCACTACACTATTACTACAACAGCTACAACAACCACAACTACAACAACTGCAGCAGCTACTACAACTACAACAGTACAACTACAACTGCAACAACATAGCTACAGCTACAGCTACAACTACACTACAGTACAATTACAGCTAGAACTGCAACTGCAGCTACAAGTACATTGGGCCACACTACACCACACTTCATCCAGCAATTGTGGGTGAGGTGACCACTGCAACCATTGCAGCCACTCCAAAAGAAACACAACTCCAACCACCTTTCGGTCCATCAGTGGATTCGCTCTGCCATCCGTGAGTCACAACAACCAACCCTTCGTATGGGTTTCCTATTTTTGAAACTTCCGCCACCGCCTTGTGCGGCACTACTGGTATATCAGTAATATTCAGTAAAACCCAAACCATATAACCATGTCACATTGTGAAAAACCATGACTATATCTGTTACAGTTACAACTGTAGATGCCAAACGCCATCATAAACATTGTATACTGTATTGTATACTGTACCCTACATATATATATATAATATACAAGTATATATATATGTGGTACCCCCACCACATGTCCAGCGTTTTTGCGCCGACGACAACGTCAACGTCCACGATTCGGGGGCCAGGAGATTGTCGGCTTCGCACGCTCTTCGCTGGTCTCGTTGGGCAGCCAGCAGGCCATACTGGGGGAATCAGCATTGTTGTCCCATTAGCATATTGATCCCATTGTTTTTCCCAATCAAATGGCCATTAGTATCAGTTACTTATACCAGTTACTATCAGGCCATTAGTATCCCATTGATTTTGATAGCAACTGTTAGTAAGTGTTGGAAGTCAAATCATTGATGGCATCATTTGATGCAGTACAATCAAACATTTATGCCATTAGTGATGATCTCATGTCCACAATGTTATTAGTCCATGGATTTTTCTCAAGTCAAAACCTATAGAGTGAAATGTCCATCATGAATATTCCATGATTATATCCCATTCTTATCCAGTGGCATCCCATTGATATGCCATTATTTTTCCATTAATATAACACAGCCTTATTAGTACAATGCAACACATATTGTGGATGGTCGCGAAATCCTGCACCAGTTGGAAGCTACGAAAGGTAATTAAATTCAACATTCAACACTGGGACAGCTATAATGGGATGTTTACCATCTATCAACTGGTGCAGGATTTCGCCATCATCCACAATATTATTACCATACGACTAGGGGAATCAACATCCATTCACCAGCTACGACTTAGGGTACCATCTGGGTGCCAGGGTTTTGACTCATAGACATCTGTTTAAATCTATTATTTATATCTATCTCTATTTTGATGCATATTTTACATTTGTTGCGAAGAATGGCCGTTTCCAGGTCGATAGTATGGCACTATAAACCCACACCGGTCAATGGAGCCCTTCTTGGGGGTATTTTGCACTTGGGGAATAGTACAACAGTAGAGTGCTGTATGTCTGTCGTGTGTATTTGTATCGAATCCAATTTATGAGAAGACAACACAGAACCTATAGTTACTATAGATACACATTGTTGATTGTGTCGTGGTATCAATGTTCAATACCACCCATGGGACCATGATCCCCAGTGACTTTCATACTTTTCGGGTGTCAGAAATCATAGATTGGGTGCGATATCGCGATGGTTGATATCAGTCCCAGACTTGGCTGCAGAAAACCGGGTTCTTCGATTGCGTTTCTTGAGTGATTGGTGAATATCCCCAGCTTATTGTGGATGAGTGATTTCTATATTCATGGAGATATTCACCAATATATAGAAATCACCAACCCACAATAAGCTGGATATCCCCATCAGGTTGGTTGGTATTCCCCTGATCTCCTTCAGGGCTGCCCTCCATTTTCTATGGCTCCACCGGACCTTTTGAAATCACCCCAGGTGCCAGCGAATGATGCAGAGAGGTGTCCAGAGGCGGTTGAGAAGATCTTGGGAGAGGACGGGGTGTGGCGAATTTTTCAGTGGCGAAAAGCCAGGACCCACCAGGAACTGATGGGGATTTCTGATGGGGATGATTTCAATGATGGAAAGTCAGACGTTTCCTAAAGTCATGAGAACCATGAGAACCATGGAAAAAAAGGGCACCAAACATCTTGACTCACAACCCAAGAGCGATCCCAATCCCCATTCAATCCGCATCATAATCCCGACTACGTCCTCATCTACATCCCAATCGCAATGGTCGTGCCCATAGTTGTACCGATTGACTTGGCCGGGAGCAGAATGATCTACTTCAACAATGGATCGTCAAGAAGACCCAGATCACGCCCAGCTTTTTGCTCTTGCGGAGCCATTGGTGCCCCAGAGACTTTTGAACTCGCCAAGAACTTGGATGATAACTTGGGTTCCCTCATTTTTGGACCCAAATATGCAGGTGACAGATCCCAGACATCTCCAATCCTAAGATTTAGTCCATCGTTGGTCAACCATTGGTCAGTACAGTATCAACTGATATCTATGGCTTAGATCCTAGTATCATCCCTATTCATAGACATATATATCACCAATATCCTCAGCATGTTGTTGGATACATCCATCCATCATGATCCCAGAAATATTCCATAACGATATCCTGGGTATCATCATACCATCACTCTCCCCATTCTATCCTTTTGGACCAAATTATGACAAACTCATCAAACTATGACAAGATATCATACCCATAATATATTTCCTCTTATTTCCTTAAACAGATTCAGCACTGTACCCGTTATATTATGGGGAAATTCAAGTTCATGTATCACGACTCATTAGGACCAAATAGTACAGTACCATACTAGTACTGTATTTTGAAATGTGATACTCTATTAGTACTATACCATCACATATTACCATTTTCTCATTGGTGCCATCATATATTAAATATTCCAAGGAAGTTTAGAAGTCAAACTTCCGACAATATGGACAGATGAAAAGCAGAGAAGGGAAGAGGCAGAGAGAAGAGAAAGAGTAGAAGAAAGAAGAGTAGAAGAGAAAGAGTAAGAAGAAAGAAGATGCAGATGCGAGAAAAGGTAGGAAAGTCGTGAAACACCGTGTTTTTCCAATGATTTGGGGCTCCGGAGGGTCGAAAAGTAGGCTCGCTAAAGCGGCGGGTGCGGAGCCAGCTGGCCAGATGAGAGATGAAAAATTGCACGCCGTTGTGGCGCGAAGCACATTTGCAAGTCAAAATGTACAAAACACCTGGGTCTCGGAGCACTTTTGGAAGTTGAGATGTCGAACAAGTGCACGCCGTTGTGGCGCGAAGCACATGTGCAAGTCAAAATGTATAAAACACTTCAGTGTCGGACCACTTTTGGAAGTTGCGATGTCGAAAAAGTGCACGCCGTTGTGGCGCGAAGCACATTTCGAAGTGAAAATGTACAAAGCACACCATTGTCGGACCACTTTTGGAAGTTGCGATGTCGAAAAAGTGCACCCCGTTGTGGCGCGAAGCATTTCGAAGTGAACATGTACAAAGCACTAGGGGTTCGGACCACTTTTGGAGGTTCAGATGTCGTTTCGCGTGGCAGGCGCAAGGGATTGTGCACCTCTTCAAAAGTGAGCAAAACGTGAGGGTTTTGTAGCATTTCCAGAAACGATGGCAGGCGTGGGGCATTTGAAGAGGATCTGCAAAGATGCATTTCGCGTGGCAGGTGCAATACAAAAGACATGTTCATCAGAGATGTTCGGAGGTCAGGGCGCTGATTTCCTGAGAGGGGTTGCATTTTGGAGTATCAGATCTTCAGGTTTGCTGAGATGATTTTGCGTGACAGGTGCAGCACTCCGTATGACCTGGCATCAATTTTTCGTGGCACGCGCAGTACTTTACACAGGTGGAGTGGAAAAATCGCAAAACGCATTGGTACAAGGCTGTCAGCTCTGCACTCAACTTTCCATTTTTGAAGGAAGTCTCGCAGAATTCTTTCGTTTTTGATGTCTTTAACTTCGAAAAATGAGGAAGTCTCGCAGAATTGCTGCTGGACGTTGTTAGGTTGAAAAATAAAAGAAGTGTCGCAGAATTGTTTTGTTTTTGATGTTGTTAAGTTCGAAAAATGAGAAGGTCTCGCAGAATTGCTGCGGTTTTGGACGTTGTTAGGTTGAAAAATAAAAGAAGTGTCGCAGAATTGTTTTGTTTTTGATGTTGTTAAGTTTGAAAAATGAGGAAGTCTCGCAGAAGAGCTTCGTTTTCAATCTGGCAGGTAGACAGATAGATAGACAGACAGACATAGATTAGATAGATAGATAGATAGATAGTTAGTTAGATAGATAGTTAAATAGACAGATAGATAGATAGATAGATAGATAGATGGATAGACATATAGATACTTAGACAGATAGATGGACAGATAGACAGATAGATAGATGGACAGGTAGACAGATAGACAGATAGACAGATAGATGGACAGATAGACAGATAGACAGACATAGACAAATAGTTAGATACCAAGATAGATAGATAAATAGATGGATAGATGGACAGATAGACAGAGAGATAGACAGATAGACAGATAGATAGAGAGACATTTTGATCAATAGATAGACGGAGAGATAGATAGATAGATAGATAGATCGATAGATAGATAGATAGATAGACAGATAGACAGATAGATAGATAGATAGGTAGATAGATAGATAGATAGATGGACAGGTAGACAGATAGATAGATAGATAGATAGATAGATTAGATAGATATATAGATGGATAGATGGATAGATGGATAGATGGATAGATGGATAGATGGATAGCTGGATAGCTGGATAGATGGATAGATGGATAGATGGATAGATGGATAGATGGATAGATGGATAGATAGATAGATAGATAGATAGATGGATAGATAGATAGATGGATAGACATATAGATACTTAGACAGATAGATGGACAGATAGACAGATAGATAGATGGACAGGTAGACAGATAGACAGATAGACAGATAGATGGACAGATAGACAGATAGACAGACATAGACAGATAGTTAGATACCAAGATAGATAGATATATAGATAGATAGATAGATAAATAGATAGATAGATAGATAGATAGATTAATTAGATTAGATACAGTCAAGTGGTTTAGTCGCATCGATATGTGTAAAATGTATCTAACTGTCTCTGTTTCCTTGCGTGGGATCATTTGGAGGGGGTCGCATCGATTCCATGATTTAGTTGCACGTCTGCGGGTTTCCGATTTCTTCAGATGATGATCATACCGCTTTCTGCAGCCACCTTGGGTCTCTGCTTGCAACTGTCTGCGTTTCATTTCTGCAATGGCTTTGGCGACTCCCGTGAAGAAGCGCAAGGTGACCACTGAGCCAGCATCATCTCAGAAAGTGCCTTGACATGCGCTTATGCGTACTGTGTCTTTGTTGGTCGGCGTTTCCCATGGTGCTTTGGCATTCTCGCTGCTTCCTATTTGTTGTTTCTTTCACTCCGGACTCCTTTGGTTGGAGGCACTAGATCCTGGTCGACGACAAGCAGATCGTGATCCTTGGCTTGGCCGGTGGGACTGGGCGTTGGTTTGGTGGTGGTGGTGGTGGTCGTGCGGGTGACGTAGAATGTTTGTATGTGTGTGTGTTGCGGTGTATGGGTGCTGTCGGAGTGTGGTGTGGTGTGGTGTGGTGTGTTGTGGTGTGGCTGTGTGTTACTGTGTTGTTTTGTTGTGTTGTGATGTGATGTGGTGTGGTTGGTGTGGTTGGTGTGTTCTCTGTTTGTGTGTGAAGGTGAGGGTTTGAGGGTGTTTGTGCATGCTTGTGTGTCTGTGTGTTGTGTGTGTGTGTGTTGTGTGTGTGTAACATCTGAACAGATGTAAAACTTCTTTGACTCTTACCGTTTTACATTTGCAGGGAACCTTTTTACATTTGCAGGGGGCACCTGGAGCATGGATAGGTCAGGTGCCAACGAAGACACCTATCCAATGCTTGTGATATCACGGCTGATCACCGTGACGTACCTGCCAATTTGCAGATCGGTTTCAACTGTTGATCAAGCTGTTACACTGCGTTGTTTCGAATCTACACGGTTGCCACAATCTGTATTGCATGCATCAGAACCTTCCTCAGATTTTCGCCGAAACCATATCGCCGACAGTATTATGATTTTTGACATTTTTTCGCCGAGATCATGTCGCCGATGAACTTTGGGTCATTTTGGGAAACAATCGCCGAAACATTATTTTGGATTTTCAACCTGCTGGTCAAAACTCTTTGGACGCTGGTTTTAACTACGTTTGACAATATTGGATGCCCTACATCGTTTTCGAGAAGTACCTCATATGGCTCCTTTATTAATCTAACGATCTAGGCTGGTTTGCATGTTTCAGGATTCAGTTCCTGCCGGATCATATAATGATCCATTCTTGTCTAGTGTGATTTCCATGGTGGCTCCGACATGGTGCCATGGAGCCAATTGAGGCAACCCTTTTCAGGGTGAGTGATGACTGTCCGGACTACCGAATTTACGAATTTTAAGTTGGTAATTCATCTAAGTAAATTGCAACAGCCGGCCATACTGTTTTTCCAGCCTTTTGAGATTGTCCCGCTGATCTTGTGGTCCCAGGGATTCCTCGCCGATGCGTTTCTTCAACTGTGAAGCTGTTCTGAATTGCCAGAAACCTCCGGTTTTGCAGCAACCTTTGCAGCTACATTGCATCACGTCATGATACAAGTACCAGGCAGGCTCACGACTTCCAGGTGTGGTGTCTCTTTCTTTTGATGGTTGTCTGGTGAGGTGAAACATTTTGTGCATCTAATTCGTCGGAACTTGGAAGCTGTTTTATGCCATTGGGGCAAGACTTGACCACGGTCCCGGTGCAGGGAATAATTGCACGACTTTTTAGGTATTCAGGGACTGAATCCTGTATGTGATTTTCCACTTCTGTTTTGTTCTACTTGCGCGATGTATCCGTGGACCACTCCGCCAACGTCATGGCCTGCTCCACCGCAGCCTGCGAACCCATCTTCG